TGCTTTGCTAAGCTTGTTCTAAGTAGGTGCTTTAGACCACTGAGCCATCTCACCAGCCCCTGATTTCTTTATTAAGTCACTCAACAAATATTTTCAGAGCACCTTCCCAGGCTCTGGAGAAAGCAGGCACAAAGATAGACACAGCCATATCCAGTTGGTGCAGGAGTTGATATGAAGATGCTAAACAAATCACACACACACAATGCCAGGATGTAAGTGTGAAGCAGGAGAAGGCACAAGGAAATAAAGGGGAGCGACGAGGACCCAGGGCACCTATCAGTTTGCTTTTTGATGAGGCTAAGTGAGCACATTTACCAGATGATGTGTAGAGAGCAACTCCTGCCGCCTTCCAGCAGTCAAAGTCTGTAACAAGCCTCCTTCCCACACTGAGGCCTTGAAGAATGGACCTGGGAACCAGGAAGGTTGTCAGATTTAGTTATTGTCAGCTGGCCTTGCCTTGACCTCCCAGAGGCTCTTGTTACAGTTGGTCACTGTTCTCCTGTTTGAAATGACTTCTCTTGACTGGGACACCTCCACCCTCTCAAAAGTCTTTCTCACTGACCACTTTGTCCTGGTTTCCACAGCCACAGCTCCCTGACCTCTTCAACCTCTGGGCCTTGCCCTCCTCCCCTTCCCTGGCTCCCCTCAGAAGCTCTTTGTTAAAATGCCCAGCGTCAGCCGGGCATGTGGCACATACCTATAATCCCAGTAGTTGAGGAGGATTGCTGAAAGTTCAAGGCCACCACAGGCTACATCAAGAAGTGGCTCTTCATACTGACATGGAAAGAGGAACGTAACAATACCAAGGAGGGAAAAATAAATGGTCCCATTTTTACTGGGAAAAACCCCCCTGCAGGTTCATACACATAGCTATATATAAAACCACAACATGGTTGGGTGTGGCAGCTCATAGCTGTAATCATAGCACCCTGGAGATTGTAAGTTTGAGGACAACCTAGGCAACTGAGGCACACTATCTAAAAAGCAAAACAAACATAAAAACCGTGTGGATGTAACTCAGCAATAGAGCACCCTAATACCACAAACCCCCTAAACACACATACAAGTTAGAATTGGTTTAATGCTCACAGTGGCCCTCAAAGGCAGATGTAATTGTAACCAACCCCACAACCTGTGGGGAAGCAGAGGCACTGAGAGGGACAGACGTGTAGGGCCTGAGTTCAATCCCTGGTTCAGCCACACACACACACACACACACACACACACACACACACAAATGCTGATGGGGTTGAGGGGAAAAGAAACCCTTCTCCACTGTGAGTGGGAGTACAGACTGGTGCAGCCACTGTGGAAATCAGTGTGGAGATTCCTCAAAAACTTTAGACTAGGGTCAGAGGAGATGGCTCAGTGGAATAAGCGCTTCCCTAACAAGTGCAAGGGCCTGAGTTCAATCCCCAGTTACGCAAAAAACAAACAAGCAAACAAACAAAAACCCCAAAAAAGCCTACCTCAGACTAGAGATTCCATTTGACCCAGTTGTCCCCCTTCTTGGTATCTTCATGAAAGAATTAAAAGCATCACACCATAGCAATATATGCACATCCATGTTTATAGTGGCACAGTTTGTAATAGTTAGATCTTGGAAACAGCCCAATGGGGTACTATTCTGACATAAAGAAGGATAAACCTAAGACATTCCTAGGTAAATGGATGCACCTTGAGACCACACCCATAAGTGAAATGAATTGGACACACATGTTAAGTACCCCATTGTTTCTCTGGTGTGAGGAACTGAAAGTGAAAATAAGGACCAAAAGTATAAATATTTTAAAATAAGAGGGGGCTGGTGAGATGGCTCAGTGGTCTGGAGCACCTACTTAGAACAAGCTTAGCTAAAGCGCAGGGATGGCGGTTCAATCCCCCAGCACCACATGCCAGCCAGCCCCGCCCCCTGGTGGGCTGAGCTGGTCACACACACACACACACACACACACACGCGCGCGCGCGCGCGCAAACGTAAATAAATAATTAAAAAAATAAGAGGAATAAGTTCAAATGGGGAGGGGAACAAGGAAGCGGGGAGGAAAGAAGGGAAAAGTAAAAAAAAAAAAAAAGAAAAATGGAAACAAAGCGTTTGTAAATGGGGAAGGGAAGAGGGATGGAAGGGAGGGGAGGGGAATGGGGAAAAAAAAGAAGGAAGTTATATCATGTACAGGTACAAATTCCCGATGATGAATATGGTTGTTATGTATATCTAAAATGTACCAATAAAGTCTGACTGGAAAATAAAATGATATGGACCTAGAAGCAGAGAAGAGTCAACAGAACTGGTAAGCCAGGGAGATAGCTAAGTGGAATAAGCACTTGCCTGGTAAGCACAAGGTCCTGAGTTCAATCCCTGGTACTGCAAAAAGAAAAAAAAAAAAGAAAAAAAAAGTCTTCTTAAGTAGAATAAACGCTTCCCTGGCAAGCACAAGGGCCTAAGTTCAATCCCCAGTTCCACTAAAAAGAAAAAAAAACAAAAACAAAAACAAAAGAAACCAGAGCTGGTAAGCAGACAGCCATGCCTCCAGCCCCAGCCTGTCCACCTGAAGCTTTCAGCTTGACACCATAGCGCTATACTGCCCACCATAGCCATCAGCTCAGGTGACCCTCAGGGCTTAGCATCCCAAGCCTTTTGGCAAGGCTGAGAAGCATGGATGAGATCAAAATGCTGTTGTTGGGCTGGGGATATAGCTCAGCAGCACAGCACCTGCCTGGCAAGCAAGAAATTATAAGTTCAATTCAGGGCACCAAAAACAAACAAAACATCAAGACAAAATAACAACAAAAAAAACCCAAAATGCTGTTTTCCCTCCAGAGCCTACTGATTTGCCTTTTGCCTCTACTGGACATAGCACTGACCTTCTTGGGCTTTCCTATCCTGTTAGGGGCTGGAGGGCAGGTGGTTTGAAGCTCCTAGGAGTTTTATTCCTTCCCACAGGTCCTCAGGTGGGGCTAGGGTAGGCACAAGGACAGGGCCTTCAGCAGAGCATCTTTGCAGGATCTGAGGACCCTTCAAGAGGGCTGAGTCCCACAGTCTTTTTCAAAAGAGAGATGGGGAAACAGGACAGGGTGAGTAGGGGTGGGGGAGTTACACCAAGTCACATGAGGGTCAGCAGTGAAGCCAGGACATGGTCTGAATCGCTAGACTTCCAGGTGTGATTTGAATTCTCGAATCTCATTGAGCTCTCCTCTCCTGGAAGAAAGTCAGCTTTCCTTACAGGATGACCCTCACTGGTCCTGTTTTTTGCCAGATGTCTTGAGATTGGCTGGGGACCAGTTGCCATAGCGATGGCCAAAGGACAGTTCCATGGCTGGCAAGTGGGGGTAGGGGATGGGATGCGGCAGGACACCGATATGTTAAACACTGAGCAGCAGTTGGTCCGGGACACTTCAAGAAGAGCCAGGCAGGATCTCAGGCCTCAGGCTCCAAGGACATCAGTCGGGTTACTCAAGCTTCTGTCAAGGATCCCCCAGGTGGAGTGAGGGGGTGGGGACCAGGGGGGCCTAACTGCCCATAGGCAAGAGGGCATCTGGGGCCAGGGCACAGGTCTTGAGAAGCCACAAGGTTGGAGCTGAGGCTCAGATAACGGTCAGGGAGGGAGGCTGTGTGAGAGAGAGATGGTAGAAAGCCAAAAAGATGGGGAGTCTTAAAAGATGAGGAATAGGGCTGGGGAGATGGCTCAGTAGAATAAGTTCTTGCCTGGCAAGCTCAAAGGCCTGAGTTCAATCCCCGGTTCCGAAAAAAAAAAAAAGAAATGAGGAATGATGCAGTGATTTAGGGAACACTGCAGGGTGGGAAGAGTTTCCAGAGGGAAAATTAGTGCCTTCCACCTCGGCTGCAGCAAGTCCAGAGCCCTGTAGGACATTTAGGAGAACTGTCTGTTTATTTTTTTAAGAATAAATTTTTATTTTTGTCTGATTCCCATTTTAAAAATTTATCTAGCCAGGCATGATGGCACTCACCATGGTAACCCTAACAGTCAGAAAGCTGAGGGAGAAGGATTGCTGCGAATTCAAGGCCAGTCTGGGTTACAGAGTGAGTTCAATACCAGCCCAGATGGGGCTGGTGAGATGGCTCAGTGGTCTAAAGCACCTACTTAGAACAAGCTAAGCTAAGCAAAACACAAGGACCGTGGTTCAATCCCCCAGCACCACATGCCAGCCAGCCCCACCCCCTGGTGGGCTGAGCTGGCCACACACACACACACACACACACACACACACACACACACACACAAATAAATAAAGATATTAAAAAAAAAATACCAGCCCAGACTGTACAGTGAGACTCCATCTCAAAAAAACAAAGACAAAAACACTTTAAATAAATAAGTAAAGGGGCCAGGGAGATAGCTCAATAGAATAAGCACTTGCCTGGCAAGCACAAGGGTCTGAGTTTAATCCCTGGTTCCACCAAAAATGAATGAATGAATAAATAAATAAATAAATAAATAAAATAAATAGGGCCGGGCATAGTGGCATATACCTGTAATCCCAGAACTCGGGAGCTGAGGCAGGAGGATCATTGCAAGTACAAGGTCCTGAGTTCAATCCTCAGTACCAAAAAAAAAAAAAAAAGACCTAAATAAAAAAGTAAAATGCAACTGATTAATTTTGAGAGTGGGTATCACTCAATTGCCCAGGTTAGACTCAAATTTAAAAATTTATCTAGCCAGGCATAGCCTCCGGACTCAGCCTCCCACAGGCCTGGATCATCATGCCCAGCTACATTTTAAAATTCTTGGCACCGGGGAGATGGCTCAGTAGAATAAGTGCTTCCCTGACAAGTGCAAGGGCCTGGTTCCACAAAAAACAAAAACAAAAACAAACAAACAAAAAAACTTAATTGAAACCTGATAATGATAATTTCATGCATATATTGAATATGATGATTTAAAAAATTGGATAATTAGCATTTCTATCTCTTTAGACATTTAATGTCTCTGTGTTTAGAACCTCTGAGCTCTTTGCTGGCAGGCCAGGGCAATGTTGACAAATCTAAGCTCTGAAGACCAGAACTAAGATGTACAGGTAGATCTCAGCTCTTGGACTGTGTGTGTGTGTATGTGCATTAAAGGGAACTTCTTTTTTGTTTTTCTGGTACTCAGAATTGAACTTAGGACCTTGCGCTTGTCAGGTAGGTGCTTATGCTGATGAGCTATCTCCTTGGCCCTTTTGGACTTTATTTTTTGAGACAGGGTTCTGCTATGTAATTCAGGCTGGACTTAAACAGGGGAGTGCTCAGTTGGGGCAGAGGGAGGCAGTGATTGATGTGTCTTAAGGATCAAGAGGGCCCTTGGGAGGGTCAGAGAAGTGCAGGAGGCTGCTCACACTGGGGCTCTGCTCACACTGGGGCTCTGCTCCTCTTTTTGCCTAGGGCACCTTGGGAAGTGGTAATGTTGAACCAAATCAGAGCCAGAGGAAAAGGTCTCAGAGCGCAGGGCAGAAGACCAAGGACAGCAAGCCCAGGGGGCGGACCAAGAAAGGAAGCTCCACTGAGAAGTGAGCGGCAGGGAAGGGGCTGGGAGGGAACCTGGGGACCAGAGGACCCTGCCCTGACCCCTGCCCTCTTCCTCTTCAGTCCCTTCCCCTGTGCTCCTCGGGAACCCTCCTTCCCATTCCAGTGGGCCTGGGAGAACTTTTCAGAGGGCCGGGCTCTGCTTCAGCCAAGCTCCCCTTCGGCCCTGGGCCATCAGGCTCTGGCCCAGCTCCCGGCGGTCCCCCAGCTCAAGTCCAGGCGCAAGTCCACCGCCAGCCTCCCAGGAGCCCTGGAGAGGAGACAGCAGCTGGGGCCCTGCGGCAGTGTGCCCCTCTCGCCCAGTAAAGGGGAGAATCAAGGGCTGGAGCCATCCAGCGCGTGTGGCCCCTGGCTGCCAGGCAAGAGGCCAGGATCGAAATCAGAGTGTAGAGAGGCTCCTGAGCCGCAAGGCGAGGGTGCTGAAGAAGCGGAGCTGGGTCTGAGCCCGGAGGAGCTACCTCAGCTACCCCGTGGACCGTTGCTCTCGGAGGAGCGCTTCTCAGAGGCGACTGTGGAAGCGGAGGAGCGGGAGCATAGCGCCCCTCATAGGAGAAAGAGCGGTTCTCGAAAAAAGGGGCGGAATTCGGGAGAGGAAGCCTTAGAAGAGGAGGCGCAGCGAGCGCAAAGCTCCAGCTCCTACAACCCCCGACGGCCACAGAGAGGCGAGGCCAGGGCCCAGGAGCTAGAGGGGCCCTGGGACCTAGAAAAGCTGCGCCGGCAGTTACTGCAAGAGTGCTATGGTGAGGGCCGCTGCGGCCCAGGCTCCCCTGCAGGGTGGGGCGCTCTCTGTGGGTTGGGCTGGGCCAGGCTGGGGGGTGCTAGGGGAGACTCCCGGTGGCTCACCCTGGAGGGGAGGGTTTCTCTAAATTGCTTCCACTGTGGATAGATCCCCAAAAGCAAACCCGGAAGACATTGCAGCAGGCTGTTGTCCAGACCTCCGAGGGGAGAGGGAAGGCCCATGCCTGGGGAGGTGATGAAGCTTTCTTGTCTGCCAACTTTCCTAATCGCACATTCCATAAACGACAGGAGGCCACTAGGTAAGGGGGTAAAACAGGAGGGTAGCAGCCAAGGATGAGAAATGATGGAGCCAGTTCACCAGAAGACATTCATTCACTCCTTTCTTGATCTATTCATCAACTTTTTCTGACTAACCAGTCATCTATTAATCCGTCTATCCATCCACCCACCATCTACTCACCCATCCATCCATTGCCCATCTACCCACCCATCTCTGCATCCATCCATTTCTCCCTTTGTCTCTTGATAGCGTCCATCCAACAACCTATCCTTCTCTGCCTACTTGTCCGACTATTGAAACAATTACTATATTTCCCTCTGTTTATCCATCAACCTTCTAATGGAGTGATTCATTCAACACACATTGAAGAGATTATCCTTTCCCAATTGTGCTCTTGACATCTTGGTCAAAAATCACTTAGCCATAAATGCATGGAATTATTTCTGGGCTCAGTATTCTGTTCTATTTGTCTATGTTTTTTTTTTTTTTATCTCTGTACCATGTTGTTTTAATTACTATAGCTTTGTAGTGTATTTTGAAATCAGATAGTGTGATGCTCCCTGTAGTACTAGGTGGTCAGGGAAAGTCTGTCTAGGGGAGAGCTATTTAATACACACCTAATTGTTAAGAAACAATTGGCGGGCTGGAGAGATGGCTCAGTGGTCTAAAGCACCTACTTGAAACAAGCTTGGCAAAGCACAGGGACCGCGGTTCGATCCCCAGCACCACATGCCAGCCAGACCCACCCCCTGGTGGGCTGAGCTGGCCACACACACACACAATAAATAAATGTAATAAATAAAAATAAATACATATTTAAAAAAAAAGTTTAGGGCTGGAGAGATGGCTCAGTGGTCTAAAGCACCTACTTAGAACAAGCTTAGCAAAGCACAGGGACTGCGGTTCGATCCCCCAGCACCACATGCTAGCCAGCCCGCCCCCTGGTGGGCTGAGCTGGCCACACACACACACACACACACACTAAATAAATGTAAAATAAATAAATAAATAAATAAATAAACAATGGTTGATATAAAAAAAAAAAGTTTAAAGAAGCAATTGGCCTTGAGATCTAGAGAAGACCGTTCAGATCTGTCTAGCAGCTATCTATTCAGCCATCCTCACCCTTCATCCATCTATCGTTCCATTTATTGATCCCCTCAGCACTTTCTCATTCCCATCCATTCTTTAGTCAGTTTGTCCATCTGTCCAGCTGTTCCTCAAACTGTTAGGCCTTAACCTGACTCCCACCTGATAATAGACTCAGAAAAGAGCAAGGTCTTGCTTCTACCCTCAGAGAAGGCTGCTTTGTAAAGGAAATCCCCCAAGAACTCCTCTTATGTTTCTGTGCTCCTTGCCTGGTAGCTTGCCCACCTCCGAGCTCCTGTTCCCCAGTCTTCTCCCCTCCTTCTTACCGCCAGGAACCTGCTGCAGGCCTGGGAGCGGCAGCGGCAGGAGGACCTGCAGCAGGCTGAGCTACGCAGGGCCCGGGAGCAGCTTGTTCAGCAGCAGGTGGCTCGCTGCCTGGCTTCCTATGTGCCCCGAAGGAACAAAGGGGCCTGGGCCAGCCAGTGCAAGCTGGAGGAACTGAGGTAGGAGTGCCAGGCTGTGGAGGGCCTAGTGGGGGGACTCACAGAGGCTGGGGTGGACATTGGGCTGCAGGGCCTTAAGGCAAGCCAGCTAGGCCCCTTGGTCTCATCTAGTGATGAAGATGCCCAGGGAAAAAGGCTGATCCAAGGTCATCCAGTTAATAACAGCCATCCCCAATGAAATTCAAGGCCCACAAAGACCGCCTTTCTCGGGGTTCCGCCACTCGCCCTGGGGTCATCCAAACCCACAGTCTGGTGTGTCCCTCTGCCCTGCCCCAGAGGCCTTTTTTTTTTTTTTTTTTTTTTTTTGAGATAGGGGCATATACCAACACACCCAGTCCAGCTCCCCAATTTTAAAGATGAGGAACTATTTTAGTATATGTGCTACAGAAGTGAGCACCTGATGAAGAAATAGAGGCTCTGAAGACAAGTATGTTCTCAGGGGCTCCTTGGTCAAAGACTAGAGAGGTGCTTCACCTTACCAGGACTCAAATAGTCATTTGGTTTGTTTGTTCTTGTCTTTTTGAGACAGGGTCTTGCTCTGCAGTTTAGGCTGGCCTTGAACTTATTTGTAGCCCAGGCTGACCTCCAACTCTTAAGAGAACCTCTTGCCTCAGCCTCCTGAGTGCTAAGTCATTTGTTTTTTTGCTTGTTTGTTTGTTTGTTTGTTTTTGGCAGAACCAGGGATTGAACTCAGGCCCTTGCGCTTGCCAGGGAAGCGCTTATTCCACTGTTTTGAATAAAGATGTAACTCTAGGAGATCAGCACTTCTATTGGCAGGTACAGCAAGAGTAGTATTTTGAGCTTGCTCTTTTCTTTTCTTTTTTATGGTACCAGGGATTGAACTCAGGACCCTGTGCTTGCCAGGCAAGTGCTATTCTACTGAGCTATCTCCCCGCCCCCCCCTTTTTTAACAGTACCAGGGATTGAACTCAGGACCCTGTGCTTGCCAGGCAAGTGCTATTCTACTGAGCTATCTCCCCGCCCCCCCCTTTTTTAACAGTACCAGGGATTGAACTCAGGACCTTGCTTCTGCCAGGCAGGCACTTTGCTGCTAAGCTATATCCCTGGCTGCCCTTTTCTTTTTTGATATTTTATAGCATAAGCACATCTTTCCAATGTTGCCTTGTAGTCCTTAAAGCCTTTAAACTTTGCTGTCTGAACCAAATGGGAAACTCCACCCTGTCCCTGAAGGCCAGGCTGAGGAGAGGTGACCCTGTAGCAGGGAGATATGTCTTCCTGTCATTCCCAGATAGTAACTAGAGGGATATCTACTGGGACTCTAAGATATGGGCATCCTTTTATTCCTAAGCCAGCAAGAATCTGGGTACCCATGGCTCACACCTATAGCCCCAGCTACCTGTGAGGCTGAGACAGGAGAATGGCTGACATAGTGTGAGTGTGTCTCAAAAATGAAACAACACAAAACTAAAACTAAAACGAGATAAACTCCACTTGCATTTCATATTTATTGTGTTTCTATTTTTGAGATAGGGTCTCCATATGAGGTTGGCTTTGAATTCACTATGTAGCTCAAATGGGTCTCAAACTTACAGCAATCCTCTTACCTCAGCCTCCTAAGTGCTGGAATCACAGAATGTGCCACTATGCTCAACAATTTTTATTTTATAATAATAATAATAATTATTATTATTATTATTAATTTTATGTATCTGGTACAGGGTCTCGCTATGTAGCTTGGACTCATGATCCTCCTGTTTCAGCCTCCTCCGCACTAGGATTACAGGTGTGTGCCACCACGCCTGGTCTTGGTGGCCGGCTTGGCATGACCAAGGCGGGCAGGCATAACATGTGGTACCAGGGATCAAGCCCTGGTCCTTGTGCTTGCCTAGGCAGGCGCTTAGACTGCTGAACTATCTCCCCAGCCACAATTTGAATTTTTAAAATGTGTACAACAAGAACAATGCACATTCCGGGGATGGTGGCACACACCTGTAACCTCAGCACTCAAGAGGCTGAAGCAGAAAGGGCATTGTGAATTCGAGACCAGCCTGGTCTACAAAGTGAGCTCAAGATCAGCCAGAACTGCATAGTGAGACCCTGTCTCAGAAAAGAAAAAGAAGTTCAAGGCCAGCCTGGGCTACAAGTGAATTCAGAGCCTGCCTGACTGCATACCAAGATTATTTCAAAATCTCAAAACAACAAGAAAGATAGATAGATAGGTAGAAAGAAAGAAAGAAAGAAAGAAAGAAAGAAAGAAAGAAAGAAAGAAAGAAAAGAGAGAAAGAAAGAAGCCAGGGAGATAGCTCAGTAGAATAAGCGCTTGCCTGGCAAGTGCAAGGGCCTGAGTTCAATCCTGGTTCTGCCAA